CACTCGCCACGAGGATTCCGTATTGCTCTGCAGGTGAAATACGCGTTCGAGGAAGTCTTCGATGAAAGACTCATATTGCGCGTGCAAAAGTGAATGTATGGGCGGAGAGCCACTGACGGCTCGCGCGTGTCGAGAGTGGCATGTGCGCGCGGCAAGCGTGCGAAAACACTCGACGAATCTTCGATTGATAACCCTGATTGTTCGTAATAGCCGTGGGCTGTTTAAACTCCCCCTCCTTGCTCTTTGAGGATAAAACGACGACAAATTAAAGAAGTACTGCGCTCCAAAATTGCTCTGCCCCCCAAATGATTTGCCTAATTTTCGAACTAGCTAACCCGCCCCCCCCCCCCCCCCCCCCCCCCTCACTTCAGTCACTCACATGCGCAACCCGCGCCATAAAATGACGCGCCATGTGTGGACTTTGCTGAAAATCATGTCTAAAGTAATCTCTTGCGTTCGGAGCTTGGCTTGAACACTTCTTCTCTACGTTAGTCCGCGCAGTCCAGGGTCCCTTGTCTTTGTCACCGTCGCTGTAGTCTATCCAGAGCACTTCTGCTGTGGACCTGACTTCCAAGTGAGAACCTTCTGATGACATCTCCTCATCCCGCTTCATGGGGCCTGTTTGAACTATCCGTGCATTATAATAGGAATTCCCTATCTGAACTGATCCAGTGTTCTTAATACAGGTACGCCGACGGCGTGCAAGCAAATTGTTCTGTCAAAGGCGGTGGTTCAACGAGGAATCCGAACGGCAAAACTTATTCCGTGAACTCAAAGAGGAGGCCTAGTTCAATTTATGCCATTAGCAACGAGAAAAATTTGTCCCAATGGTTAACATTTTCTTCGTATCAAACTTGAGATACTTCAGGTTAACAAACTCGCGCCATCTTTGAAGAGAATGGGTATCGATGTTGCGGCTGATGATCTGAGACCCGCAGGCCCGGTCGGCCGCGACAACTCTACTCCGCTCGTGATCACGACACAATTGAACAGCTCAAGGTAGCCGTATATTGAGATTAGTGTTTTTTAAAAAGTGGGACGTTGAAGCGAATGGGAGAGATGATGTAGCAAAACGCCTTCATACACTTTCCCTTTTGATTGCAGCATGACCTATGAGGCAGCAGAAAAAGCATAATAAACGGCGAATTAAGGATGGTCGATTTGGTCGAAATTTTTAAGGGAGGCATTTAAGGAGGTTGTTGGAACTCGATGGTCAAAAAATTTTTAAGGGCTGATCCTTTTCAGATATTTGTCGAATGATTTCGTTTAAGAAGTGTAGGAAGTACGTAAATGGGCGGAGACTCTTCCTTGGACAGAGGTTTTTATGTGGGTTTTGTCTGGAAGGCACGAAGGTCCCTGGAAATGAGGATAGACTGATTTCTGCAAAGCTTCATAACTGAGAAGCGTGGGAATCGTCCACTGAGCAATACCAATTGAGGGGGGGGGGATGGAGGAGGAAAGTGGAGCTAGGTCCTATTTAATGATTCGTCGGATCGGGAGAAGGTCATTTTGGTAATCATAATTCTTTTTCGTGATTTGCGGCGTATATTCCCCACAGTATGACGCTCCTCCATTGATAATTAAATTTTGCAGTTTAGCGCCCGGCGAATTGCACCAGAATTCGCTTGATACATCATTCTTTATGGAATTGATCTGAACCAGAAAAAAATGTCACTTTGGTTTTATGAAAATGACCTTCAAGGCGAAGCGCAGTCCAAGGGTGGCAAATTTAAAAAAACTCCGAACGCCCAGTGGATTAGGAAATGTCTCGGGCGAAGCTTTACATCATTTCGGTCCCATAACATTCCTTTTTCTAAATGTTCCTCCATCGAGCTGTCTAGCAGCCATACAATCTTAACCTAACTGCGAAACGGCCAACTAAGAACGACTGTTAGGCGCCCATTGGTGGCAGCCGCGAACAGGAATGGTCTCTCTCCATTGCGAGCTTTCCTTCGTCTCATTTCGTGGATGACGTCAAAGAAGGAGAAGCAGATACGTCTTTTCAAAGACTTACATGACCAATTTTCAGGCATCGAAAAGCTCAATCGCCGAACCTGCTGCACCGAGACGGTGGGAAAAAAAGCCTCGCGAAAAACCGAGGAGATACTTCGCCAACGCGAAGAGAGCTGAAGACATGGGTCTTGCACGACTGAAGACGGTAACCACGACGCCTCCCAGGGGTGTTCAGGTCCGATAGAAGTACGTGGATTCTGCTTTGGGTTGCATACCGTCCCAAGGAATTGATTGCGAACCTATCGCGCAGTCATCCAACTTTATGAAGGGGTTGCCAGGGTTCTTGAGGTTTGGGCAGTGTTTAAATGAAGTATTGACCTTATTTTGCCAGTGTTATTTGGATGGTATTTATTAGAAGTTCATGAGAAGGAATCCGGTTTCACAAATTTAATCTCTTTTCATTTTAATAATAATGTTGGACAGGTGCTAAATGCCTGAACAACTTCTTTCATGGTTCTATCTTTGGATTGATTTCGCGAATTGTAAAACAAATTGAGTCAGTTCTTTCGCTCATGCCCTCAGTCCTCTAGGCTCCCAATCAGACGGCGTTCGAGAGTATTAGTCGTTTCACTTTCGGTCCACTCGCGCTCGGAAGACTTACTAGACACCCAGCCGGAAATACAATCAAACTCTAACGCTCAGCTCTGCATCGGAGACCTCTGCTGCCAATTCTCGACCTTTCATCTGCTCCTGGTCATTTCAGAACAACCACTCGACTGGAAATATGCGCAACAGGAGCTACTGGAAAAACAAGGCATCGACCTGAAGGCGGAAATGGAGAAGAAACTGCTTGAAATGGAAAGTCAATACCGACGTGAACGGGAGGAGCTCGAGCTGAAAATGCTACGCCAGACCAAGGTTGGGACTTTTCTAACAGTTTTACCAACGTTCCAAGAGTTGTGTTCGATCTTGTAAATTTTCACATAAAACGTTCATTTATAGGAGTACGAAACTCGTATCGAGAGTCTACAGAGACAGGTCGATTTGGCTCAATCCATGATCAGCTCGTGTGGTTCCGGATGGGAAGGAGAGCGATTCCTCACCAGCTCGTTAATGGAATTTGGTAGGTCTAAACCACAAAGTATTACTTCTTTGCTACAGTCCATGTCTCACCGTCTGATTAGGTTGGTCTAAGGATTTGACGTCGCAGACGTCGCAGACTTGTTAGAAGGCACGCGGATAAGCTGCTTTTAACAAACTTCGCTGGAACTCAGCAAAACGTACTGAGAACAGCACACTGAGAGCATATTACACGACCTCTATCAAGTGCGGCCGCCGCCACTCCAAAACTGAAAATCCGCCAAATCAGACGGCTTGAAATGGACTGTGCCTATGCAGCAGAATGCAGCGATTTCAAAACACATCTCATCCTGTGATGCATGCCTGAAATTTACTGATGTAAAGTAAATGATTGATCGATCCTGCTTCCAAAAACTAAATTTCTCACTGTTCGTATTTCACCGTTATTTATATGGAGGAAAATGAAAATTGAAAATTCTGAAAATTCGAAAACTTTGGAGTTTCTGACTTTGGCCTCCTTTAAATCACATAAAGATGCCAACTTTGCGGGAATTCTATTGAACTCTGACTTTTACAGCTGAAGAATGCAAGTGGACAACCGGTCAAGAGAAGGTGGCGAGAAAAGCAGCCATCAAGTGGAGGTACCATCAATTCACTTCGGTGCGTTAGAATTTCCTCCATTCATAACATTTACTGTTTCTGATATGGAATAAAGCAGCAGCTCGTTTTACTTCATAGTATAACAGTATCTTCAACTTCTTAACGTCAACGGCAGTATTGGTCATGGTAGAGTCAACTAATTGTAAGCAATGTCTTTTTCCCTGTGAGCCAATCTTTAGGTTTCCTCTTTTTTCAATATATACTTTGCGTCTAATCTGAAGAATCTATAAAACTGTCGGCTTGGTGGAAGATTTCCTCCGCAGCCGATGAAAATTCAAAATTTACGTCAAGGAATCAACAGCGATCATTTTGAAATCAGTTACCATTTTCTACGGTATTTTGCCAGTCACTTTCAAAACAACAGATTTTGGACGGAGCGCCGTTTTCTTGACTTTTTATTCTTTTTCAACCTAAACCAGTTTGTCATCCAGACTGAGATCCGCTTTTCTCGCTGCGAAGAAAGACGCACAAATAGGGTGTGCCTCACGGTGTACGGACAACTTGAACTCGGCCCTTTAAACCGCCTATTTGAGCCTGCACTCTCTCGCTTAACCAGTGCTTTATGATTACTGTGACATTATATATTCAAACTTTGCCACAATATAATTGGCTCATCCACTACGGAGTCCCTCCTCCCTTCAAGGCTTAGTCCTAGAGCTCTCACCTTCTTGGTTGAGATTTGAAGCCGAGCCAGGCACCGTTCTCTAATCGTCTGTGCTCCGGCCATTAGGGGAGAATCAAGTAGTCACGTAGTCGTGCCTTACCACGTCTCATGCCGCACAGCACGCGCTGCGACTCGTCCTTTGCCACGTCTGCGTCTCTTCCTTCGCCGCGCGACGGGCCTCTTGGCGGACACCCGAGCGAACCGATACACCTCCCATCGGAGGATATGCCCTGGCGATCGAGCTAGGCCTTCATTTTAGCGGTGTTGGCGCACTATCGGTGTGGTACGCCCCTTTCTCCTTGCCGTAGCTTCTAGTCATTTAGCAAAGAGCGTTAGCGGTGAAGAGGGCTGCACCAATGAGATTAGTATCAATGCGGAATCAACGGGCAAGGAAAGGACCCCATTTCTCGGCTTTGAGGCCGTTTTATTGGTTCTTTCTACTTCCATGCTCCGGACCATCTCTAACTTGATTCCCAGTGGGCTGCATTTTTATTGCAAAATCCGCATGCAACCTTCGGTATCACGGATTTCCTTTGCAGCATTCCTCGTCGATAATTGTCGAATTCTGTAAAGGCTGATCAAAATTTTGTCCTTTCTTTTGTTTAGCGTTATCACTCAATAATCAAAGTTATCATAACCAGATGCCCCATAACTTGTTTGCTGTGGGAATTTCCTACGGAAATACTTTTTAGATTCACATGAATTTGCTGTGATCGACACAGGGTGTATATATAAATAAGATTTAGATTTCTCACAAGTGATAAGGAACTTTTCTCCTGACTTAGTTTGCTGCAGCTTTTATTGAAGCAGATTTCATCGATCTTTCCAGGTTCGAGACGATCTATGGGGCAACGCAATCTTCGTGAAAGAGGCGAATGCTATCTCCGTTGAACTGAAAAAGAAGGTGCAATTCCAGTTTGTCTTGTTGACCGACACTATGTACAGGTGTGTGAGGTTACTGTTCTTTGCCATTTTGATATGAATTGCAGAATTTGTAATCTATTTAGCTCACTTATAGTTTGTGACGACTGTCAAAAACCTATGAAAAATCTGTTTTTGAATATTTTCACTTCAGGTTTTTCTCTTTTGAAAGGACCTCCTTGAAGTCATTGTTTCATAATTTTAGCCCACTACCGCCAGACCTGCTACCGCCTGGTGAAGATCTCACTCTTAGACCGTACCCGAAAACAGTTGTAGCCATCCAAGTGCAGGATCTCAAAAATGGTGCCAGTCACTATTGGAGCATTGAAAAACTCAAGTAAGCCTCTTGTAACTTCTGTGATTAGTCCGCCCAGTAGATCTAGAGAGAAACCTTTTATCTTTTCCACCTGGCCAGGCCAATAGAACGGCTGCACTTTAGTTATCGTATCGCGAACCCAAGCTTTGCTTCGTAGAAGCTTATTTTCCCAAAAAAAAGACGAAAGAGGGTTCTTTTGAAATCAACTCTTAGAAGGGTGCTTAGTATCATCTGAATAGTTGTTTACCGCATTATTTTCAATGCGTATTGGAGGTGATGGTAGAATAGTGAAGCCGCATGAAGCCGTCATACCTGAATGCACTCTAACGATTAGTGAAATGCGTACGTTGGCGACACCTACTCCGCCTACGAGTGGTGCTCGCGGGTGACGAAAAATTCTGAATCATTCAGTTAGGGCGGTGAAGATGGTCTAATCCCGAATCCAAGCCTACTGTACACAGGATGTCCTTGGGTCACCGAGAAACTTTTGCTGGCACGATTGAAGGCAAGCTCCGGTATAGAGATCGTGTTCAAGAGCGCTTCGTAATGATGACTAAGCAGCAGAATGAACTGTAAGTGGAAGGCAAGCAAGAGACATCTGAAATTATGGCCTCAACCTTCGGTAAGGGCAGGTGGAAGCTAAGCGCTGAAAGTAAGGTGCTAATCTTCAAGATGATAGGATGTGTACACCGGCTAGACAGTTCGATCAAAGGACACAAAAGCGCGAGAGAGCACGTCGTTCGAGGCAGTATGGATCCCTACATCAACCGTGGTGGGTGGGAAGCGTTGCAGCGGGTTTTGTTGGTTGCACTCCCGTTAGGCTTAGCGCCATAATCGCGCAATTATGCGATTAAGCTGGCATGACCTATGTAGGTACGGACACCACAATTTCCCTTGCGGCATCCTTCGTACTAGTCGGGCTAATCCCTGGGCTTGCCTTCAAGTTGCGGATATTTTCGTAACGCCCCATCTTCTTTCCAGCTTCCTCTATATCCTCGATTTTCCTAGGAATGATTTTTGCGAGCGTGTACACACGGATTAATGCATTCAATACTGGACGACGAACGAAATTCTCTTCGTTTCTTTATTTTTCGTTGGATTTGTTTGACAACTTCACGACAAACACTTCCAAATTGTCTCCACATACAGCAAACGCTCGGAAATGCAGGAGCGTTTCTGGCTGACTCCCTGAGTTTGCCGTAGAGTTGGCGTCAAATCAACTAGACTGTGCAGTTAACCTGGTACACCCCAATTACACAAACAGCTTCCAAAATCCTTCGGATACATTAAAAAGGTAGAAAGGTAGCTCCAGCCTTCCATTTTCGAATAACAAAAGAGACAAGGAGAGAGGAGGGTAGTATTTTGGAGAGAATGCTTTTTACTCAGCCTTCAACGCTCACCACTAAAACGTGGACGGAATTCGACCGAACTGAACATGGTACATTTCACAGTAAATGCTGGAGGATGGTATGCCCTTCGCCCGCCTGAGGAGGCCCACCGCGTCCTCCTCGCCTTGCGGTAGGCCTCCTAACCCACACCATGGGCCTCTTTGCCGATAGCATTATCAGTTTCCTCACGAAAGTATGATATAGCGTCAACGGTTCGATTAATGATTGTTCTCACATCCTGAGCTCCAGAACTAGAAAGCACAACAGACTAGCCATGAACACGCTGTTTTTTTTTCTCAAAAACGCACACCTTTCAAGTCTTTCTGTAATGTTCCAACTTTTCCCAAAGATTTGTACACCCATAACCCGAATTTTCTTAATCCTGCCTGCATTCGATGCTCTCACTTCGGCTACCGTACCCGTGTGTGTCTTCTAGGCAGCGTCTGGAAGATATGCGTAGTTTCTACAACGCCGAACTGTCTGTGGTTGGCACTCCGGCTGATCCACCATATAAAACGGTAGCCGAGGGATGGTTGGCGGCGCTGCAATTGAATCCAGCCCGACTCGTGCCCGACAGGTACGGTAGCCCGTCCTACTGCACTTCTGCACGCTTCTCTCTTTCCGTTCAATATATGCCTTGAATGAGTGCTGCATGGTCTTTTATAAGAAAGTTTTCCCTCTATTTGGCAGAGCACTTGCAAGTAACTGCATGTTTTCCACCGCACGTTCTGTACCTCTTGTTGGAGTGATTGCGGCAATGGCTCTCTTGGAGCTTTACTGAGCATGGCCATGGGGGCCAGTAAAGCTACGTGAAGTGCTCGATTGACAGGCAGCGTCTCGAGTCCATGCGGGATATGTATGAAGCCGATCAGCTCAGCCCGAGTGACGATCCGATGATGGAGGCCTTAATGGGCACTGACCCGTTCTACGATCGCTTCCCGTGGTTCCGAATGATTGGAAGGTAAGCTTTTTTCTTTCAATGTTAAATGAGGAATTAATTTCCGCCCTCCGACTATGTAACTGATTAAATATTATCGGATGAGGGATTGTTAGAGGTGGTTGCAACGAGATCGTACAGTGGAGAGGTTGGGTGGAGAAAGGCGAGGATAAGGAAGAGTTGAGGAGCGAAACGTTGTTTAGGTTTATCCGTTTTTACTGACAATGAAATAGTGCGTAAAATAAAGTAGGATCCACGAAATCTAATGAGGATAGTTTCTGTGTTCTGTGAAACATTATTAGTCTAATTCTTTCAAATTTTTGTTTTTTTTACACAATTTTTCGTGAAAAATTACGAACAGAGTTCCCTGGAAGATCCCATCACAAATTTGTTGTGATTTACCTCTTCTCTATTTCAGGGCATTCGTCTATCTGAGCAATCTACTTCATAATGTACCATTAGTCCATAAAGTAGCCATTGTCAATGAAAGAGGAGAAGTCCGTGGTTACCTGAAAGTAGCCATTGAGCCCGTGAATCCGCGTAGGTTTCCTTCTTCTATGCTTCTGTCCAATTTCCGCAACTAATGCGGCTCTTTCAATTTTACATTGGTCGGAATGTTCGCCGCCGTGACTTTTTTGTAAATAAACAATTCGAAAGCACCAAGTCTGGAAATCATAGATATGCTACCGTCTCAGCTAGACTGAGGAAGCTCCCAATTCCCTATTCCGCAGAGGTTGGGAACTGGCTGAAACCGTCGTTTGAATCTTTAATTCTTTGTCCCGATTTTTTCCAGTAGACGCTGTAGGTGGTCTGAGGCCCCGTAATTGCACTGGGTGAAGTAAGATTTCGAGTTTTGACTGACGACCAGCTACTCTGACTACAGTAATGTATCGAGAGCAGGCATTGACCTTCACTACGACCTCACACAAAAAGGTGGCTCAAGCTGAGCAGAGGGAGTATGATCGGCTGAGTTCCCTTGAGGCTTCTACAGCCGTGATCCCACTCTTCCCGATTACCGCTCTTCGGCCACCGTCAACCATTCGGCAGAGGATATCCTATGAAATAGATAAAAGGATGAGGATAAAGCATTTGCCGTTGATCACTCCCTTTTGGGATGCAGCACGCATTCTACTTCCATTTGTACATTTGTAGTGACGTTTGAATGCGTTTGGCCAATACAATGACTTGCGGGGGCCAGCCGATGTACAAGTCAGTGTTTTTATCTTCCCAGACAAGTCTGGTACCAATTAACCGACCCCGAAGGATGGAAGGCTTGGTTGGCCCGGGCGACTCACGACCCAGGATTTGATCCCTGGACCGCTTGCGTAGTAAACGTGCCATTTGCCACTACACCACTTCCGCCCATGAAATAAATAAAGGAATCAAAAGGCACTCAATGACTTCTTCACGTTCTAATTCCCGTCCCTCTACGTGTAGAGCATCGAAAAGCTATCCGAGCGGTGGCAACGCGTGGTAGAGGACGCAGTGCATCCCTGTGTTTCTCAGATCAGGTGACTATCAAAATATTAACGCAAAGGTTTCTGGCGGGGCACTTCTCAACTAATCTAACACACACATATTTGCACGTCCTCAACCTTTTCCTCGTCTTTTAAATTGCAACTCTATTACAGTGGAAGTGGATACTCAGAAGAAAGGCGTTCGTCAAACAGCGAAATTGCACTTCCGTAAAGAGGACTTCTTGAAAACTTGTAGAAACGGCGAGAACGAAGGTATCTTTGCGTCTGTCGGATTTTCGCCCTTACTTTGATAACGTCAAAATGCAACACAAAAGCTTTGGGGAAGTTTCATAAAGACCCCTTACTGAAGGAATATACTGCATGGGCGCTTCATTCCCGTATTTATACTTTTAATTCCTAGCAGTGTAATGCAAAGTCCAGATTGTAAGTTAGTGAAAAATTCGTGCATTACGTTCCTTCCTTTCTCGGAATTTGCTGTTCTTTTAGTTCAGTATTTGTTGTATTTAATATGTAGCAATATGAATGCGGGTTTGTGTCCATACATTTTTACCAAAAGAAGAAGCGAAGCAAAATGTGGGGACCTTTTTTTTGGGGTACCCTTCGCGCAGATACCGAATAAGCGCGCTAAAATAGGATGAGAATACCAGAGCACTTCCCTATTTTAAGAAGGAGAATCTGTCAATAATAACCGATCACTTGCTAAATTCGCCCACGTTGAAATTGGTTTCAGGAATCACAGTGTCTCAACTACTAGAATGAACATAAATTTAATTTAGATGAAAGCCAGCAGCTGACGTTCCCACCTCACATGAAAGAAGAAGAGGAGTTCTGTTTCCGTGTGGTGGTACTGCAGGCAATCGATGTCTCCGAGCAGTACTCAGATGTCTTCTGTCAATTTAAGTTAGTGTGAATTCATGTTTGGCAATCTCAAAACGACATATCCAAAAACTTACCTCAAATGAATCTACGGATTTACCTCACAGATATTATAAACAAACTTATGCCAAAATTACCGTACCTTTCAGTTTCCTCCATCGTCATGACGAAGCCTTCTCCACGGAACCGTTGAAGAACACTGGTCGAGCGCCACTTTCCTTCTCTCATTCACAGAATTTACACATCAAAATGAGCCGCACGTTCCTGCATTACCTGCATCACTTCCCTATCATTTTCGAGGTATCCGCTATGAGGCATTTTTCTCATTCCCATAAGAAGGATCACAGGAAATCGAAGAGCGAAACAGTTCCACAAGAAGAAAAGTCTCTTCAGGCGTTCGGTCATTTCCAACAGAAACCAGAAGGATTCCAATTCGAGCGGCAGCTGAGCGCACTCGGGTACGTTTTGCCATAATTGTGTCCTTTTTTATCCCCTAGAACCATATCTATTTTAGCCGTCGTATGTCAACAAAGCTCACCTTCCAACAACCGTCGTTGGTGATTTCCACACCTGTGAAGAGCAAGAAAGCCAACGCTCCTGTCCAACACAAGTATAGCATATTTATTGCTCATTTTTATTTCTCAAGCTTTGTGTATATCTTACTACAAGATTGATGTTTGAGTTTCTCAAAGAATTTATTAGGATTTTTTGTAGCCCTACACAAATTCGTTCAAAAACGGACTTGCTGGTTTGGTTCGAGATTTGCGAACTGGCTGGAAGTGGTGACTACGTGCCAGCAGTGGTGGATCACGCCCAAGGCTTACCAACCCATGGTGTATTCCTTTTACATCAAGGAATCCAACGAAGGATCAAAATCACCATCTGCCATGAGCGGGTCAGCTTCTTCTTGTAATGAAATTACTTCGCTGGGACTACGCATTGAGTCTTTTCCATCGATGCGTGGCTTCACTAGGATATCTTAAAGGATTCTACGCTAAGGATGTAAAAAATGTGCCCCGTCTTCGTTGCAGCCCGAAAAGGGGGTTATACGCAACCCTTGGGAATCCGGTTGAAAAAGCGCCACCATAGGGAGATTATCCAGTCGCTTACCCACTGCGCTGAAGGATTCATTCAAGCGTTCTGTAAGCGCCGTATTGCCTTCGTTGATTTTAGAAGACAGAAAAGCGGCGGTTGCTCGAGAATCATTCCATACGTAGGTGAGGGCTGCAGAGGTAGCATCGCGCAGTGACTTAGCGTCGCGGCCATTCACCGGTGCATCATCTAGCAGCTCAGCAAAAGTAGGCAAGGTCAACGCCAAGTCGGGGTCAACCTTCATGGAGTCAGAATCAGATGGTTGGGTCGGAGACCCACGAGCTGAGGCCTTGGCGTGGCTACGAGTGATGGGCATTGGCGTAGCGAAGACGATAAGATGCGTCTCTAGTTGTAGGTGGCTTTATACCCCCCTTTTAGCGAGTGGGAGGACTAAAGGCCGGAGATATTTTGTTGTGATAAAAGATTCTGAGAAATGGAGATGGAAAGTGCTGACAAATGCCTTTGTAGTCCTGTTGGAAATGGGGCTCGATCAGCCCCCGCTCAAGTTCCTCGGAGATAAGCTGTCAGCTTTCCGAATCATCGCAGTAATGGAAGCGGAATCTTAAAGTACCCTTATGTTGTGAAGCGCGGAACGTTGGAATTCAAGCGGCGCTAAAAGCTTGTTACAGCGTTCGCGGCGCGCCTGGGAACAGCGCAGCATGTTTCCAGCCACGTCATCATGCTGGTTGGAGCTAATGTCGCCTTATCAACCCACGTATCCTTATTATCCCTGCATAAAGTCTTGATCGCGAACGACGTGGTGATCTTCCTATGGCCCTTCTGGAAGGTGGAGTACAAGTTATAGGAAGGAATGATGAAAAGGTAACGGAAACTAGAAGTGAACACGGCTACATAACCTAAACATAATTGCTAAACGCTGAATAAATTCTTAAGCCAAGCGGTCATTTCCAAGCGCGCAAACCACAGCGCTAATTCGTACGGACCAGTATAACACAAATAACCAAATGCTTGAAACTATAGGGGTGGATAAGTCCTTACTTTCCCCGTGTGCGTGCACCATTACAATCTCGGGTCTTCCACTCTGGATCACTGAATACGAATTACATGAGCTCATACGAATTAAATGAGCTCATAACGCAAGTAGATCCTAGGGAGTACTCCCTTGCCAAACAGGCGGGCTGACCGCTGCCCGCGTAAGAAATCTAGTGACGACGTAGGAAGTCTTTTTCCGATAAAGTCAGAATGCTGACCAAGTGGTCGAAAAGCGAATATCGGAGTGAGGTAACTACGAGCCGGAACAGAAAAGTCTAAAGAAGCTGAGTAATGGGAACGGAAATAGCACTCAAATCACAACTAGGCTTTCGTTCGATTATCGAGATATGCCTCCGGAGGATGGAAATGATGGTGGAGGGGAAAAAACGAAAATAAACTAGGCTAAAACAGCAGCAGCCGTTTTCCACTAAGTCGCCCGTGTCACCATAAGAAAAGCGGTAGTGACATGTAAGAGCAAAGATGGGGCTCTATGGAATCGGTGAGAATAAAAAAGACTGTGAATGAGTGAATGAATGGACGAGAAGGAAGGGAAAGCAGTAAGGATGAAAGGAAGAAAGAGAAGCTGCAAAGAAGCTCAGCTGCAAAGAATGTGAAGAAAAGTAGGTAGATGAAAAGAACTGGATAAATGGACGATTTGGGAATACAACCAAATGAGAAGAAGCCCATCGAGTTAGCTATCATCCTAGCTAAGTTGAGACCTAGGGGCAACTTGAAAACTGAAAGAAAGGAAAGCGAGTAATGAAAACAGGCACAGGCGGCACAAGAGGGCTCCCGGACAGCCCTCTTGTCATAACTCAAAACTTTATGGTGATAAGCTGCGTACTTGGGCCAATACTAAAAGGAAATTAGTAAAAAAGAGATGCTGAATTCACAAAATCATGTAATAATAGTTTGAGGTGTTAGTCACTATGAACCACCATCAGAAAAATAGAAGACTCACCGTTGCCCTTCCGCCTGGTGGACGTCCTCGCTGCTACCAGTAAGAGTCCTGCCTTCTTCCTTCTGTTACACGAAGAATAGGATTCAGATTTATTGCCTGTTAGACAAGTACCACAGCGAATCGGCTGGTGACGCAGCGGTGGGCAGCGCGCTGAGCCCGAGGCCGGCGGAGACGGCGAGCATCTTCTTTCTCCCCTCCAGCCAGCTCCACCTCCTCGTCTTGTCCTCGGCGCTTATCTCCGCGATCTGAAACTTCCGATTCAGCTACGTAATGTATCGTAACTCAGTCCTCTTTTACATTGATCCCATGACATATTCAAGCGGCTCTTACAGGATGGAGATTGGAGAAAGGGGACATATACCCTTTATACTTAATCGAAAGGCAGGCGGGTCCTCCAAGGGTGTGTGTCGATGCGCGTTTCACAACGCAGAATAACCCCCAGCGATCTAACATTGAAATACCTGAATCGTTCCCCCCCCCCCCTCCGACTGGCTCACCACTCACCGCTAACTCTAGCCGTGGACTTAAAGGCTCTAGTGGAGACGGAGAGCGGAGGTTCACGAGAGTGCTATATGAACAAAACTTTCCCTGCAGTCAGCGGGATTCGAACCCACACCTGTCGATTTCTTGGGTCCTAAGTCGTTTTCACAGTTTTTCACCATTGGTGCATCACTGACTACCTCTATATTGACTTCTAATGGCTGCCTTTTCATCGTGGAGAAGGACACAGTAGTCAAGCGACTCCTCCCTGGCCTAAGATTGTGCCTTTCGTCATTTTTCTATTATCAGCGCAGCTTTTGAAATGGAACTGTCGAAGCTTTTGATTCTCCTACACAACGCTCAAATCCAATATGTTATTAATTATAGCAGCTGTTCAGGGAGAAGTGAAATGGAAGGACTGCCAAGAGTTGGTGGTTGGCCGTATCCGCAGTGGTCCGGAGTGGAATGGTGGAGAGGATGTAGGCAAGTTTTAAATTCCACATAAACACCAAGGCTTCACATTTCAATTGAAATCGTTGATGAGGTTTTTGTTTCAGATGTCCTTTCGCTTGGTTTGTTCCCGGGAACATACCTGGAATTCAGCATGGATGAAAGGTATCGCTTCGATTTTTCTTCATCTGCTTCGTTACTCTAAATCAAACTATTGGAAGTCTTTCAGAAATTTCTGCGAACCTCATCAAAAAGGTTTCAGATCATTCTTCCAATTCGAGGCCGCATGGGATAGTTCGCTTCACAATTCACCGCTTCTCAATCGGGTATCCAACTATGGCGATCAGGTCAGCTGCTATTCATCGTTTTCGATTTTCACTTACTACTCGCCGACATCATTCAAAAACTTACAAAGAGCTGAGTCCGACAAAAACAGAAACTGTAGGATTAGGAATAAAGTCTTGTGCCATGTAATAGCGAAGAGCATACGGAATGAAACATGGATAGAGCTTTCAAAAACGTCAGTTGAACTACTCACGCAGAACTTATGCCCTATTTCACATCTAATTATTCTGATCACTGACCTTTCCTTTCTCGCCAGCTCTGTGAACTATGCTCACCTCTGGGATGACCAGTTGGTGCTGACCTCGCCTGAAAGAATAGAAGCACCGAACCATACATCGATTGGCCCCTGCAAGGTGTTGTTTATTCCGGACGCATTTGAAATCACCGCGTTCCCAATGACATTTGGATGCGTGGCGCACCCCAAAGTAAACTTGATGAATGGCGAGCGCTTTTGTTTGTACTGTTTCCACTTGAATAACCTAATTCAAGCTTTTCCATAGTTAATCTCCTCATCAGGGCGGAAGGGGTGTAGAGACCAGTGGCGCGCTTACCACGCAAGCGGTCCGGGGATCAAATCCTGGGTCGTGAGTCGCCCGAGCCAACCAGGCCTTCCATCCCTCCGGGGTCGGTTAATTGATACCAGACGTGTCTGGGAGGATAAAAAACACTGATGTGTACATCGGCTGGCCCCCGCAAGTCATTGTATAGGCCACATCGCCTCCAACGCCACTATGCACAAATGGTAGTAGAATGCGTGCCGCATCCCAGAAAGGGATTGATCAATGGCAAATGCTTTATCCTTTATCCTTTATCTCCTCATCTGGTGCTATTTAGATCTACATGACATTGTCAGCTTACATGGAGTTGGAGGGTTGTGCGCAGCCTGCTGTCATTACAAAGGACATCTGCGTACTAATCTACGCCCGGGACTCGAAAATCTCCGCAGCAAGCAGGTACATCGTTTCTTTCATAACATTTTGAACCGTCGAAAGGCTAGAAAATATTGGGTTGTTGCATAATTATTGCGGATTTTTTTCGCCCCTTGTTTTTCGAAAAAAATTGGCGTTTTGTTTATTATATTTCCATGAGAATATTCTTCTTTCTTTTATTAACAGAAATGTTTATCGAAAGTCATCATCACATTCATCGCATATACTTTATCACTTCGGGAAAGCTTGAAGGGCGGCAGAGTCTTTTCGGCGAGGGAACAGTCAGCAAAAGCCAAGTTGAAAGCCGGTGAAGAGGTCCAGAATGCCATATTCACCGGACGAAGCTCCTATGAACTACCACTTCGATCAGTCGCTGAAAAAGCTGGTTAACGAATGAAATTTACGACGAGCTGGATGACTTGGAGGCGATGTTAGAGCGTGGATCGTCTCCGAGAATCGTGACTTTTTCACCCGTGGAAGCGACCGATAGGAAAGCAATTCGGAAGCATTCTTGATGGATAGTGAATACGATTCGGAATAACAATTCAAACATGTTTTTGTTGAATATTTTTGTCGTCGTCAGTGAATAAAATTTGTTTAAGAAAACCGCAATAATTATGCATCAACCCAATAGATGGCCGCCACTATGGCCATCTATCCGAACCTTATCGGGTGCAGTTGTAATCAAAGGGCTAGTTCTGCCTGATTAAGGGAAGATGCCTCAACAATGTTTTTATGTTACAGGTTCTGTCGTTCACTGATCGGTGGCATTTCGAAGTCGCCGGAGATGAATCGAGTGCCAGGCGTCTATCAGTTGTGTATGAAAGATGCAACCGACTCAGGTAGTCCCGGTACGCTAACAAAATGCTTTTGTGTGTCTCGTTATGCTCTCATCATCAACTAACTGGCTGTATCTATCTTTCTGCTCAGAAAAGCACTGCTTACTATGACTCCGCTTAGCTACACAGTCACCACCCCTACTATACCTAACACAATCATTGCCCATTGCTCACGATTTCACTGCTAAGAATTCAGTTTAAAGGCTGTCACAATAAGTCGGTGGTGATCAACATAAAGGTAGATTTGCCATTCGGTACGCCTGAGAAGAGGAAATCTGAATAAAACGCCAGAAACACGAGAATTGGAACCAGGGTGAACCGTTCGTTGGTCAAAGTCCAACGAGGGGTGGGGAGAAACGTATTTGGGGTAGAAAGGAGGGGGGTCGTACTTCGTGAGGTAGCTTCCATGTTACAGTAAAGGAAGGGATGTTTTTGTGGAAGTTTTGAGTGTGAAAATTTTACCGATTCACATTCGATAACCCCCCCCCCCTCCTCGCTCGAAGGCAATTTTGGGGGGAAAAGTGGGCGGAGTCAGGCTGTGTCTACTGGTCTTAGAATGGAATACTATGGAATTACCGCCATGATGGCGATGGTAGGCGAGGGCGGTGGAGGATGACCGTGTTGGTTGAAACGTGACGGTTGACCCACTGGAACCCTCACTCCTTTCTTTGACTTTGGACGAGTCTGCAGCTTATGGCTAGATGCTGGCCGGTTGGGTGAGCTGCCCGATAGATTATAAAGGATGCGGAGACCGTGCAAAATGCACTTCCAAAGTGGGAATCAAATTCTAAGTAACGACATCGCAAACCTGATTAACTCTTCGGGGCGGGGCTGTATCAGGACAGTGAGGTTTGTGCTTTGGGCACGACTATAATACTTTCCAACTAGCGCACCTTTGCGAACGCCAACGCCACACCACTCCTCCTTTACCATCTGGCTACTTGCTTCTTTTCAAGGTACTCACTGCCTTTGAGCAGACGTTGAGGTTGACATCTGCTCAGAGGCAGTGAGTACGATAAAAAGGGGATGTACCAGTGGAATACGCTGAAGCCAGCTTATTTCTCTCATAAAGTGAACAAAAATTTTACCATCTTTTTCTTCATTCAGCTTTTGCCTCAACATATCGGAACTATTGCTCTTCTTCTTCCTCAAGTCTCTCAATAATAAGGTGTCGTATGGTGAGACGCAATCCATTCAGGAGCGATACGCCGTCAGCGGCGAGTGCTGGACACATCATCGGCGTACGTCCGTGGCGAGGAAAATCTTGGTCAATGGCGTCCGCGTGGCGATTCGCTTATCTTCGAGCATCAATGGGAGTTGGAGAAGCTAACACGACTTCAGCAGGTTTCTTCGAATGCATTTTTATTTCCGTTCAAAAGAAGGCTGATGAGTTGCTATAGGCGAATAATGTTTTGTGGGTACGTTGGCTGGCGGCCACGCCTTCCGCAGACCATTCGTCTATAAGGCCTTATGGTTATTGTGTTAGACCCCATGAGGCCCAATTTCTGAGTGAAACTTCGCTGACATTTCTTCTGAAAGTGGTGTGAGGATGTCCTAGAGTAACTGATATGATCTCTTGTGATATGATTCGTCGGGAGGCGGTCATATGGCGCGATCCCATTGGCATTGGAGTGCACGGACCGCAAATGCCCCATACTGCTGCGACCGGATAACTCGTCCATATCACTCAACCACTAGACTTTAGTAATTGATCGATCTGATAATTCGGGTCACAACCATCTCGCTGAGTCCCAAGGATCTAAAAAAGGAGCGGATAGCCTGCCAGCCCGATGCCAAGGCAACGGGAGGAGCGGAATGTGCTGCGCGGAAGAATTGTACGGCTGAGCAGGACGTGGTAACTACGGCCTGCGTGCTCGATCGCGCCTTTATGACGCACACTTGAATTCAGGAATACTAGGTGATTTTTTAGTGAAGCGACTTACTCACTTCCCTCATTTCACAAAGGTTCTGAGTGTAAATGCGGATCTCCCTTCATTAAAGCGACCACTCTCCGAAACCGCACTGATTTTCCATTTTCAGGTCGAACGGGTGCGCTTGTTCCTTCGCCTTCGTGATAAACTCAAAGGAAAGAGGAAACCGGGAGAACTGAAAACTCCCGTCTCTCCCTGCGAACCGATCTGCGCCATCCCAGACACAGTGAAGTTGGATGAGAAAGAAAAGGGTAAGTCCATCTATCACTCGCATGTGGGGATTCATTGAACCAATTTGATATGTGTAAGAATGAGGTTCGCAGAACATTCATCTATGAGCATTTAGGTATTGTTAAAAAGGTGATTAACCTGATAACGCAACGAATTCCTGTCAACAAAGATCCGCCAACTGGAAACAAGGCCCAAGAGCTGAGCGATGAGAGCAGCAGTAACAGCATCACGTCACCGATCTCCGACAAGTAGGTCCCTTAACTGTTGACGAACATCAACGCCGAGGTAGGCTTGAAAATAGCGTTAAGCGTTATGACTCTTCAGGTCAATGGTAAAATCATCACCCTCTCTGGATCAGCTGAGCCGGCAAAAGTCGAAGTCGGATCAGAACCTTAGCTGCACAGATGACGTGCTCGATCAGCTGGCCCTAAAGCGAAGTCTTAGCGGCAGCCGTCTCAGTCAGCTTAATCTTCTAGTACCAGAGGTAAATCTCAATGATTTGTTGTGGCTGCCAAGATTATGGAGCATAAATGCATTCTAGGAGGCATCTGAGGGATCGTTTCGCTGAAAATAGAATAAATCTTCTTAAAAATTAGTTTGGAAGAGGATGAACGAGTGCAAAAAGTGACTTTGAAAAATTGACGAAAAAGCGTTCATTCTCAGGCTTGTTCATGAGTTTTGGGCTCATGAGCATAAGCGCAGGCTAGACCAGGGGCCTTTGCTGGCTGCCACTACGTCATTTAGTTTCAGGTGACGGAAGAGCGGGTAGGCGTTGTCGTCTCACGTAAAGGCTACATGAACTTCTTGGAGGAGAAAACTCAAGGTTGGACAAGGCGTTGGGTGGTCGTCCGACGGCCTTATATACTTCTCTTCCGCGACGAGAAAGACCTGGTTAGTTTTTTGAGTTGTTTGTAGTTCTTCCAACTATTCCTGCTTCTACGGGTAAGCCATTTCTGTCTACTTCTTGTTGGAGCCCTACCGAAAGCGATGACTTTCATATACAGTCCATATCTCGAAGTCGGATTAGGCGTGTCTATCGGTTTGACATGGCCGTCGCCGCTTTCGATAGAAGCCATGTGGATAGGCTGTTTTCAACATACTTCGCTGGATATCAGCAAAACATGCTGGAAGCGGCTTGCTCGCACCACTTCCATCAGGGGCGTCGGCCGTCATGTCAGATCCATGAACATGCTGATCAGATTTCCAGATATGGTGTATACTTGGATGTGTGCTCTTCTTTCGGCTGGTTCCTCTGTTGCAACTCTGTGCATAGTTACAACTCTATGCATAGTTACATGAGACACGCTCATATAAGGCAATGTGCTTTTCTGAAGGATTGATAAGCAATAGGGTTGAATACAATCGCAAACGTAATAAAAACTTAAGAAATGTTAAAATTGGTCCATTAGTTGATCCTATTTTAATATATGGCTCTGTCATACTGTGTGCTTTTGATTGAACATTTCTGTTCTATTCGCTCTCTATGTAGTCACTCCTGACTTGAAGTTCCGAGTAGAGCTCCAGCTCTTTACTCATGGCCGCAGGTCCACTTTTAGTCTGCAATACTTACACAGCACACTTTTCTCATGTGGCATTCAAATGCCACCCACAGATAGGGACAGAGTGAGTATTCCAATGTCAGTCATTCTCTAAGAACTGTTTGTTTTCAGGTAATCCGTGGCATTATCAACTTAGCAAACGCTAGGGTAGAGTATTCGGAGGATCAGCAGGCGATGCTCAAAGTTCCGAACACATTCTCTGTTTGTACGAACCACCGCGGTTTCCTAATGCAGATCATGCCCGGTGATGAGGTTTGTGCTCGATTCCTTAACCCTTCCTGTATTGTGATCGTAGTATAACTGAATGAATCCTCGGAAAAATCTTGCATTCGTTCCCCAACACGCGTTTCAGTTGTAATCACTAGAAATAAGAAACCTACGAAGTTTCACGCGCAAAGATCTATGATTTCCGAAGAGAAACAAACTTACAAAAACCACACTCTATTGACAATTGGAGGTAAGTGGCGCGGAGCCAAAGGCGGGGCATGGAAAGAAGTCCGCTTCGGGGCGGTTACGTATCAGGCGACGCAATGAAAGAATCGGGTTAAAGCGTGCTTTTGGAGAGTAGAGACAAAGCGATCGATAGGATAGAATGCAGTAGAAGTGTGAGATATTAATGCAATAAGGCAAAGGGCTAGAAAGGATTTCTAGTGACGGCACTCCAAGAACCAAGTGGGAGCATTCCCGTCGCTAGCATTTGTGACAGATGTCCGGCGGTGCATTGAACGCGTAGCAGCCCTTTCGGTTTTTTTTTCAAAATTTTTTTTTTACCAAAGCAAATGCAATTTTTTTGTTCTTTCCGTTCTTATCGTGATGATGTTGGTTCCCAGCAGGTGTATTATGGGTCGTATTCGAATCACCCGATTTTGGTGCGTGATGGGTTTTTACTTTAGCGTCAGGCAGAGGTTCCTCCGCTAGTTGCAAAATGTGCGGAGTTGGAGAGGAGAGCGCGCTTACAGTTGGAACTACGTTTAGATGAGACTGATGTTAGTTTTACTTTCTAACCTCCACTGGCCATCGACCAGGAGTGTACGCCTCTTGCTCCTTACTGTAAAGACATGCCACAGTCAACCGTTCATTCAACTTGGGTACGCTAGTCTTCTATCATTCAGTCAACCGATCATTGCACTAACTGCGTCCCGCTCGTCCGCTATGCTCTCTCGGCTCTCACAATCAGTGCCTACCGAATCACCTACCGCCGATAAAACAGAATGAAGTGTTCTCGAGAGAGACTTTTTCCTCCATTGAAGGGTCCATTAGCATCCACGTTTTTTCTTCTGACCTCATTCCCTTGCTTCTGCTATCACGAAATGTGCCTTTAACTGAAGGCTGTATGCGAAAGCGGTTATTTCGTGCGAATTGGTCGATAATTGTGCTCTCCTACCGTATTCTGCAGCTGCCTCACCAGTCAAGAGTGAACACTACTGGTAACATTTCTATCTTTTAGATGTATGACTGGTTGTATGCGATTAATCCGTTGATGGCTGGTCAGATGAAAGTGAAGGCGGCGGCCACGAATGGAACGCTCAAGTCAAGCATCTAGTCGAACGATCCCCTTCCATAGATATCTAAAGCTTTATTTGCCATTTCGTTTATTCACAAATATAGTATGATTACTGAATTGTTCTGTGGAGCTATGCAAGGGTATTTTTATGCTGTCACGATTCGCACAGTAACAATTCCAATTCCATCCGTACCCACTTTAGACCTATTCGCCATTTAGGGCCTTGTGCAAGAAATCTCTATCTGTGTATATCTAGATATTAGTCGAGTGATCTTGGGCTGCCGCTTTTAGATCGTAAATGCACGCTTAACAGAGCACCCCCTCCTCCTGCAGAAATAGCTAATTTAACGAATTCCTTTTCCGAAAACGTTCGGTGTCGTACGCGTATTAGATGACAGCACTCGCTGATAATTGTGTGTACTCTTTCCTTGTTGTCTTGTGTTGCCAAAGCATGGAGCTATCAGTGTGTACCGTAATCCACCCGCTGATGATCTCTTTTGAGCTGATTCCTTTTCATGTTTTCGTTTCCTGTGTTCTGTAGTCTTCCGTCTTTCTTGGTCTGTTATTGATCTCTCGCGTTGTTTCCCGTTGATTTCTCTTATTCCTCATTTCCGCACTCTCACACAATTTTCGTCCACTGTTTTGGGAGCTTCTATGTGTAGCACCATAGAGTTCATGGCACGCACGCATATCTATTTAATAAATTATTGGCCCCCGTCTACTACATATGGAATACGATAACTGGATCCCTTTATGGGAGATGTGCTTTCTGATTTGATTTCACTGACATAGAAAACGACGCTAATAGGTGGAGCTATTGGAGAAAAAACAGTGCATTAGGAATCAGGTAGTATGACCAGTGAGACATGTGCGAAGAAGAAGCCAGGAAAAATAGCTGAAACGAGAAATGGGCTCCTTTTCGCCTGCTGGTTTGTGCGTATAACAAATCTCATCGCTCTTACCCTCTTCAGCGCTAAGGCTCTTTGCTAGAGCGTCTACTAGAATCACTGGCGAGCAGCCAATCGCTGGGAGTCCAGTCACACAAGCGGCGAGGGTACGACCCAGCATGGCTGCGCTGCGAATCGCGCGTCGTCCTGCGCCCTTACAAGGTAGGGGGGTCTTTCAGGGCAAACAGCGTTTTGAAAACGGTCCTTTGCATATTTTAGGAACGCATGTGTAGGCTCCAAAACTGTGTTTCGTTTTTGCTGAACGGTTTTAGCAGTGTTCTTGTTACTGTTGTACCATACAGGAGTTTCGACGATTTCGTCGTTTTCAAAGGCCTGAAAGCATATAGAGACGTCTCGCAATGTTCCATCCCGCTCGCAGCTAAAACCTACTCCTACTGAAAGTTACAACTCCCCTGTGCGATTACCCAGAATTACGAACAACGATTAACTCACGTTAATTCTACCAGGACGGGCCGCTCAGCTCCGCGAAACAATGGAGAAAGTGGGGCATGTGCAGTACGATACGTTTCTCTAATCGAGCTCAGGGGATGTATGGCAAGAAATCATCAGCTATGGGAATGCACTCATTGCTGTTATTCATACTCGGATTACGGTGTTTTGTCCAGAAGGTTTTCCTAGCACCGGTATTGCTCTCGTACGCCAATATCGTGCAATTATCGTGTATCAAGTTAAAGTCACAACCGGAATGACTTTCTCTTTGTTTTCCAAGTGCTGCGGCCAAACTTCCCCTTCGTTTACTAGCCAGATGTTCTTTTATACATACACTCAACTGTCTCCCAGTTTCTCCAATGTACAAAGCGTTACATGCTGAACACTGGAGCTGGTAAACCGCAGATCTTTGTGCGCAGTCTCCTACCTTTCCATAAGGGCAGATCAAGCACTTATCCGTGATGCAATTCCTTGCTGATTGAATTCGTTGTTAGTAATTCTGCTCTATTGTAAACGCACAGGGGAGTTGAAACGTTTAGTAGGAGTAGGTTAGCTGCGACCGGGATGGTAACATTGCAAGACGTTTCGATATACTTCCAGGCCTTAGATAACGACGAAATTCTACGTCAAGCATAATAGAAAAATACATCATGAAAAACCTGTATGGTACAACAATAATAAGAACACTTATGAAGTGCCAAGGTTTCAAGAAAGACGGATATGGGGACTATTACAAGCAGAGTCAACCCTGCGTTGTGCAGTTTTCAACGGCCACGTTGCGCAGTTCCGCCCGATTAGACACGTTCTCTCGCGCGAACATTCACACTCGCATGCTCGAGCCGTCTGCGTCTCCTCCCATACAGCGTGCTTTGAGGATCTCTCAACGTGCCGTTGCGAACTGCGCAACGCAGGGTTGACTATGATTACAAGGTCGGAAGCTCTTTCAGGGCGTGACGAGCTTTTGAAAACGGTCTTTTGCGACTATAGAGGCAGATGGCGGTGGGACCACAGAAACATGTTAATTTCCTTGAACGCCTCTGGAATACCAGAAAGAGGAGTCCCTTACTTCGATTCTCTTGGTGGCAAATTTTGCATTTCGAGTGACGTTCCTAAATTCCGCAAAATCGAGTTTCTGATGTGCTGGTTGGTTTAAATCTCCATGTGCGCGTAATTTTGGCACGTCAACTCGAAATGCAAAACTTTGGTTACACGAGAAATCGATTAGGGACCTCCTTCCTGAGTTTTCAGAGAGGCGTGTCAGGGAAAAATTGAACATGCGTTCGTGTTCTCCATCTGCCCTATATCATGCCAAAAGCCGTTTTCAAAAAGCTTGGCACGCCCTGAAATGACCTTCTGTTATAGTAGAGTCACCAAAAGTTGTTGGGATGTACCCTATTGGCATGCGTTCAAAGTCCCTGCCAGCGACTAAATTTTGCAAGCAAGGTTGGGGCCACTTGTTAACTTCAGAATGGTCCTGACGATGTACATGATAGCTGATTTTAACACGTCCAACCCAAATTCAATATTTAGTCGCCACAGGAGATCGAACCATCCAGTACCCTATGCTTCTTCTTTGGTACTGACAAAATCGTTCAACGAAAATGAAACATTGTTTTGTGCTCTCTACATGGATCTCTGCAAAATGCATGAAACAGTTTCAAAAAAGCGCGGCTTGTCCCAAAAGATCTCCTTGTTAGGGGCCCGTCTGCCTTCTCTTTAAGTATTTCTTCAACCTCCGACCATGTCGTGGAATCCCATTTCAAGCAGCTTCACCACACTTGATGAGATTAACGTTCCATGTAATAATATTTATTAATACTATGAAGACACATACAGGCAATGAATAAGTGAACGAATTATAACGTTAATAGTACAATGTTAGATTTAGCAAAATCTATGGATCCCTTAGATAAGGATGTGCTAGATCACAGCAGTTGCAACGCCCATCTTTGAAAAACCTATGAAAAATTGGCTGTAATGCGAGTATTACGTGGCAAGGCCTAAGAATCACAATTTGCAACCTACTTTTGCAAGGTTTATGCCGTGGGATGCTTTTTAGTAGCGTTTGGGGAAGGAGGACGACCCTAAAATCCACCGACTTTACACAACAACGATCAAATAAATAATCGTGCAAGAAAATTATGTATATTATGTATCTCTACTTTACCGAAATTGCTACCCTTTACCCGGTACTTCATGACGACAACGAAACAGTAGCGCTGGGCTTCACAGCAAACACAGTATAATGATGGCGTGGAAATTCTTTTACAGGCCCCCTTTGGCTCCATGCTTACGTTGCAGCCGTTCAGAAAACAAGCCTTCCCCAAGGCCGTTCCTTTCGGAGTTTTTTCTGTCTCAGAACATGGTGAAACTCAAGTTCAGGGGGGGGGCACTCCATTGCTATCTTACCCGTAGTACTAGAGAGCAGTTCTTTGGGCTATCGAACACTACGGATAAGATAATAAGTGAACCTCATTTCGAGTCGTACTTTGATAAGCGACCGGTTGGAGATTGTCCTACAGTCCACACTATCTGCCCACAAGGGTTTCTCACCCATTACGCCAATATTTATCAGAAGTCTACTTTAAATGAGTCGATTAGGTGTCGTGAGCCTTCTAATCCTTATCTTGAGTGTTGGGGAAAAAATGGAGTGCCCCCCCCCAAACTGGAGTTTCACCTCAGAACATTGCTATTTGCTTATAACTGAAGACCCATGAGGGGGGGGGGAGAAGAAAGGATTTTACTTTTTTATTTTACTTTAGGATTTTATTTTACAAGATGTTAAACATTTCATGTGAAAGATGCAGGTTGGCGATAGAAAAGTGCCATGTATTAGAGGAAAATCTCACGTCCGTGCTGCGTGACACTTCGGTTGGAGTCTTCACAATTAACGCTTCGTTCGAGTTGATCGGTGTGAGAAAAGAGGGCGATGGTGTTGCAGAAGTGTCACTACTGGGGGCCTTTTCTTGCACTTTTTTTCTTTTTCGCTTACTCTTCCGTGAAGACGGCAGTGTAGGCATAGTCTTCGCTGATGCCTGCGTTTTAGGCAATGTCTCCCTAACGACAGGCTCCTCAGATGACTCTTTACTTCCGACGAGTGCTTCCTTTATCAGAATATCCGGTAGTTTTTTAGGATGTTGATACTCATATTGTATCTTAGGTTTGTCTTTAACCTCACTATCGTTAGTCACGGCTTCTGCAGAATTTGCCCTTGAATTCTGCTGGGAGTCCATTCTGTGCATTTCAATTGCTGCCTCTTCAGCCTTTTCCACCAAATAGCCCGTATCTGTTGTGGTCGAATAGCCAGCGTTTTCACCCAACTCTTCGCCGAGTATAGACTCTCCTGAAGTCTGCTGAAATTTTGACGTGCTGTCGCGTTGGTTCACTAGCGCTCTCACTGCATCTCGTAATGAACCAAGATCGGAATCCACAGAAGTATCCGCTCTCTGTAAAGAAAAAAAAATAAAGTCCACCTTAAAATTAACAAGGCAATTAACAAGGCCTTCTTCAAGGAATCAAACCTTCGTGTTGCATTTAATTGCGCTTGCATCCAGGGTGTGAAATACAGAATTCTAGAGCTATTAGGTGGATGATTCCATTGTAACAATTCTTTGAAAGCAACGAACTCGAAAAATCGCTTTT